AATAAGCAAAGTACAGGGCCAAGAAGGGAGAGAGGCCAAAGGCTAGGTTGACATTGCCATCAGGGAAAACCCAGCCCCCACCCACCCTAAAGGCTAGGAGCATGGCTTTTTTTCTCCCCCCTTTGGCAGAGCATTCTAGGGGAGAGGCAGTGAATGGTTATCACAGAGTAGTTAAAAGGATAAAAGTAAGGGCCCCCATTCTTCTCAGGATCAGAAATTTTTCTCTTCTTCTTCTTCTTTTTTTTTTTTTCCCCCAAATCTTGAGACTGTCATGGCCAGATGGTTGACTGGGCTGTTACAGAGCTTCCTCTCTCTTGGGAGCTTGGGACCACCAAGGATATGCATGATCTGGGCAGAGAGAGCATGTGTAGTAGCATCAACTGATTCAAAAATGTCCCTGGTATAGATTCAAAATTTAGTAGTAGCTTATGGTATTATGTCTGGGCACGACAAAATTTACAAAGTGAAGTGGTGTCTCCTGCCTTATTTTTGATGTAGCTCCAATGACAGCAGCCAAAGAAAATTATGCCAGAAGGAAAGGCTGCATGCTGCATTCTTATATGTGGTCACCTCAAGCATTAGTGCTTTTATTAACTCCTTCTTTGGAAAGGTATGTATAATTTTCTCTAAGAATAAAGTTCCATTGAGGTCAACAGTGTGAGAAATGAGGAAAGGCCATCTGCTCTTCATTGGGCAAAAACAATAGTAGCTTATAATATTTATTGTGTTTACAATTTCAAAGCACTTATAAATGTATTTATTATTTTGATTTTATTATAGAGGTAGATGCTCCTGTATAATTTTTACGGAGTTATTAAACTGGCTGAAAAAAATCTATCTCTTGCTTAAAATCTATTTGTGATGGAAATTTGATAGGGATAACTAAAATAACAACTGATATTAACAGTATAAAATATAGTATATCAATGAAACCTCAATTAGCAAGAAAACTTTGGTAATTAAACTAATTATTCATCTTTGCTTACACTTTTTTCTACTATGTATCTGCCAGTTCTTTATTTTTAAAAGTAAAACATAATCTTTAGTAGATGATTCAGTATCTTGGATTGCCTCAACATGGTTTTCAATAATATTTTTCATTGCATACAGCTGTAGCTATAAAAGCATAAGATCATTTTTCAAGCTATTGATATATCAGATTATTGTATATTCAGGCAATTCTGTCTTCTAAAATTATCATGTACCAATTTTCCAGCTAATGAAATATTTTTACTAGTTGAGGTTTACTTACAACCATATTTTAATGACTGTGAATAAAAGTGGTTACTATTTTTTGCTTTTTTCCTTCCCTCCCTCCCTCCTTTCTCTTCTTTCCCTTTTCCCTTTCCTTTTCTTCTTCTTCTTCTTCTTTTTTTTAACCTGTTTATATGATGGATATGTGGATCTCTGAAATGCTTAAGAGACAGGATGGGCAAGAAAAGGTTTGTGACAATTAAAATATTGATACTGAATATTTGAAGTAGCTGAGAGAAAATGAAGCATTATCTGAAGGATGTTGTTTTGGCTGTTCCAACCATAGGGAAGACTTGTTGATGTTTCTTCCTATATCATTTTAATTCTGACCAAGGACTCAAGGGCAAGGTGGTCCTGTTGGTAAATACCTTGCTTACACTGAGAAAGAACTAAGCTGAGCCACCAGTCCACAGTAGCAATCCAGGGCTTTCCCAAGGAGCCATACCTCTGTTCCCTTCTGTTTCAACTTTGGTTTTCTGCTGATGGCACATAATTCTCATTTCTCCTTTACCCTCTGAACACACTTGCCTCCTCCTATCCACTGCCCCACCAGTCAGTCCACAGAACTGACTGGAGCTCACACACAGCTATGGAGAACAGATGCAGGTACGCACACACATTTACACACACATTCAGATTTGAGTCTTATCCTGGGTTAAGGCCTCTGTGATTGGACTTCCTAGCTTCTTTTTCCTGTGGTGCTAATTCGGATCACAGGAAAATACTTCCATAATGTGTGTCATGGACATTCTTGGGATTAGTAATAAATTTGATTTTAAAAGGGATATGATTTAGGGGAGAGAGCATGGGCTTTGGAGGCAGCCAGAATTGAGAGGGACCTTCAGCCCTACTGGTTGCTACTTGTGTAACATTGGGTACTTCCCTGTGCCCCAATTTCCTCATTTTTAAAATGAGGAGATCTGTAATTCTCTCAGACTGCTTTTAGGAGAATTACACAATATAACTTAGCCAAATGGTGAGTGGCTAGCAGAAAGGAGGTACAATTTTCTCTTGTTTCCTTTTTTCCCCCAATTTAGAAAATTGGTGAGATGAAGTGTTATGCTTGTAATGGGAAAAGTCTCAACTGATCTGATCATCAGCTTTATTTAATTTTATTCTTTCAGTGAAGGGTAGATTTGGCTTCCAGATGAACTGTGAAGTAACAAATCAGCCTAGAAAGAGGACTTTTCCCTCCTAATCTGCAGACAGTAGTTGCCATTGTTTTGAGAAAGAGTCTAGTCAGTTCCTTTGCTATTAAAATATATCCATGGGAAAGATAGAGTATTTTTATTTATGTTCATTGGTAAAATGCATATGCGTACTTTAAAGAATGAGTAATTTCTCAATTGTAAGAGGATTTAAGACAAAACTAGTGTTTACATTTTAGTTACTATTCTTGATTTCATTTTGGTGATTCTCACTATATACCTTGAAATTATTACATGTGTACAATTATAAGGATATTTTCACTTATCATTACTCAAGAGATAAAACTGATTCATATATGTGACTTGTGAAAAGATTCATTACTTTTTAGTGATACTTATTTGTATACAGAATAATCACTTATAATGAGTGATGAGCCTTTCAATTCTCCTAATCACTTTCCAAGGTAGGTGTTGCCATTTCCATTTTGCAGGGGAGGAATGGAGGCTCTGAGAGACCACACAACTGGTTCAAGGTCACACAGGTTATGACATTTAAGTAACACAATTGGGATGTTAACCCAGACTGCCTAACTTTAGCTATAAAGAACTTCTGGTTTTCTTTGAGGTCTCCTTTTGTGAGGATATTCTGAAACCTTCCTGGCATTAGATGCATTTATATATTCCTTTTTTCCTTCTCAATGCTATTTGTTTCAATATTTTAATAACCACTAATGTGAACAACTTTTAATTCAGTAACATCAGAGTTCAATCTGTATCCTTTATGAACTAATACATTTTCACGTTTGGAAAAAAGCAGGGTTGAGGAGCCCAGAGGACACTGCCGCTGATGAGAACTTTGTAGGGGCATCACCCTGAGCTAACAGAGAGGTCACATGCTCCCCTGCCAGTAATCATCTTCAGCCCACCTTTCTCATGTTGCACTTAAGAAAATGGGAACCCAAGGGGCACTTGGGTGGCTCAGTCGGTTAAGCGTTTGCCTTCCGCTCAGGGCTCAGGTCATGATCGCAGGATCCTGGGCTCAAGTCTGGAGTCTCCAGTCTTGCACAGGGCTCCTTGCTCACTGGGGAGTCTGCCTCTCCCTCTTCCTCTGCCTCCTCCCCCCCCACCCCCCCACCCCCCGCTTGTGCCTGAGCTCGCTTGCTCTCTCTCCCTCCCTCCCTCTTACTCACTCTTTCAAATAAATAAACAAAATTAAAGAAAAAAAATGGGAACATAGAGAACCCAGGTGATTTGCTAATGGTTAATATCTGGGACTAGAACCTTACTTTGACTATGGAAGACAGACCTCCCCTTAGTTATAAAGCAGAATTTGAAGACGAGGAGTGTGGATTAGACATAGACAGATTTCTGTTGCTGCAGTCTTTTGATTCTCTTTGAATCAGGAATTTACCAGCCACTCATTACTGTCAATAGTTCACCAGATCCTAGAACATAATCACAGCAGAGAGTTAATGCCTTCTGTGACTAGTGTGGGAAATTTACCAGAGTTGATCATGAGATTTTGCTCAAAGTTGAGTAGGCTGCCAGTTTCAACATCATAATGTTTCCACATGCCTCAAGATCTATTACAGGAACATTTAAAATTGATGTTATCTGTGTCTTCACTTATGTTTCACCCAAAGTATGAATATTAATGCTACTTGTCATTTTTTTCCTTTGTAATAATTCTACTTTTATTTAAGTGCTGCATCAAGGATTTAGATTATCTGCTATTTTCTGGAAGATCTCAGGGTTAAAGTCTTGAGTCAAAACACCTGGGAAGACATGACAGTCATTGCCACAGCTGTTGTGTCCTGACTGATTTAACCATTTTTCAGCACTGCATTTGCACGCCTAGACCCTTCCAATAACTGGCTTTTTGAAAGAATGGAGACAATGACCAACACAGAAAGAGACAAATAATTTGGCTGCTACTGCTTGACTAGATAAGATTGAGGACAAAGATGAAGTCTGAAACCATCCAACAGTCCTAGAACATGGGAATATACTTCCACTTAATATAGTTTTGTAGGAAAAGGTTTATTTTTCCTTGATGATATAAGCTGTAGTTGAAAATAGAATTATTTTCATACACGGGAAATAGATCTAGTTAGTTGAAACACTTATCTCATGCAGACTAGGAAAGAAAACACCAAAGTAAGAAACAGAAATGCATCATTCAAAAATTTCATATCTTGGAAGACAACAAGAGAAGTGAAAAACGAATTAAGCCAAGCAGTCCACATGAACAGTACAGTTGGAGGGAAAAAAGTGACCAGAGATAGGCAGCCAGAAGCCAGACTCAATTGCCAATTCTTCTGAAAGCACTGATCTTTAGAGGGCCAGGAAGTGTGTGGTGGGCAGAGCAGCCTTGTGTCCTGCCATTACGACAGAAAGGCTAAGGTGGGCCGCGAGATTCTGTGGGCTTGCTCAAAGATGCCTCCTCCTGTCCTGGGCTGGCTGTGTCCTCTGTGAAACACTGGTAAGGCCTTCAGCTAGGTTGACTTCAATCCCCAAAAGAGATCCACAGACTGAGAAAACATGGAGAAGAAAAGGCCAAATGTTCAAAATGCAGGAGGAACTGACACACAAGGAAAGATGCTAGTTTCTAAGTAGTGAAGGGGGAGCTGTGAAATCATTTCGGGAGGCCTATGCATCTAGAATTAGAATTTTGTTGATTAAGGGAAAAGCTGAATAAATACCTCCTAATATGCTATAAGTAAATCTCTATCTACTTACAAAAGGTGGATTCCAAAAGCAAACATCGAGAAATGTAGTATGTTCAGATTACATAGGATATAGAATCCCCTTTCCTAATTCATGAGTCTGTAAGAGTAACAATTTTCCAATAAAACAAAATGAACAAAACTTTAAAAACTATCAACAAATATATTTATTGTGGTGGCTTTCCCCCCTACTAGATACACCTTGTTAGAAAGTAGTATCCCGTTTTAGTTCCAGGTGGTAATAAAATTGTTTTTCCTGCAGAAAACACATGACTTTGCAAACATGTTCTCGTCTCCTTGCTCTAGTTTTTGTTTTTCTGTGAAATCAGAATTTTCTTCTAATAAGTATGATTTTGCTTTTGGAACTTACAAGTACATGTTTACAGACTTATATAACTCAAGGGGTAGCAGAGGCTGAACCACACAGTGCTGACATCGATTAGAGACCTGTTCCAGGTAATCACAACCCTTCACAGTTTTGTAAAGCACATAAGTCATCTCCAACGCTATGGTTTCTTCCACATTTTGCCTTTTTCCAATCCCACACAGTATGCTTAACTCTGGTGTACACTCTCATGTTTCTTGCCGAAGGACAGGGTGAAGGCAATAGAACCAATCTGAAAACGGTCGTTTCGGTGGTGATAATTCCTATTATTCCAAATGCCGGGCCCTAATGTCTGAGCACTCTCTAGATCTCCTGGACAAAACAACACTGTTCTTTGAAAGATGTTTCTCTTTCCTGATCTCTTATTGACTTTGAAGGGATATTGCCTCTTCAAATTTGCAGAACTATCTTTCGCTTCTTAAAGCAATAGCTTGAAAAATTATTTTTATAGGTAAAAGATGTCGCTCTCCAAATGTCATCATTATGTTGTTACATCTTATAGCCTATTGATAATTATATACAAAATTTCTTGTCCTTAGAAATGCACAGAAGCGTGTTAGATAGCCATTTGAAAACATCCCTTCTTTGAACTTTTGGCTCTTTGTTGTTTGCTATGCTTGTACAAAGAATATAGCAACTATCTGGAATGTTGTTGAGACAGAGCAGTAACTGACACGTTGTCCATTTGTGGTCCTAATGGCTAGAGCACCTGTCCTGGGCATCTGGTTGAAATAGCAGCATCATGAGTTTACAACGATCTCATGGGACCCTCTAATGTACAGTGCTGACCGATACCGATTTCTGTTGCTGATCTTGGACCTTTCGCTTCTTCTGCTGCTGTCTGTCTTTGTTTTCTCGTTGTTCTGGAGTTTCTCTGCTGGGTTCCAGACCTTTGTTATCAGGTATGGCATCCTTACTTTCTTCTTTATTAGGTTTTTTTCTTTTCCTCTCCCTTCCTTTTTTTCCTGAAATGAAAGAACACCTTTTAAAAATACGTTCAAACATGTTCTATTTGGTTATTCTAAGTTTTAAACAATGAGTTACATTTCTCTTAGGTTGCATATCAGACCATAGATACCAAGTATCTACTCTTTAAATCATTCACTCAGATACTTTTGATTAGATCTGTACCATATTTCAAGAAATGTGAACATGGAACATAAAATATAACGAAGAAATTAACGTATGATAGTTTTGGACAGTAGAGGGTTCTATAGTTATAAGTTTGAGAATTAATTTACATCATAGTTACTTGAGAATATTTAATACAAAGTTTTGAATAGATTTTGTGCCATATAAGACATTTCTAATGTGTATTATGTTATCTAACTCCTACTGAAGGCACTCCTTTGTATTCAAATTTTTCCAAGTAACAGTTAGATATTTGCAATGTCCTGCTATAACTGCATGCCATATACTAAAAGAGACTTGATTTACATAACAAATATGCAAATACCAGTAGAAATGTACTTTATTTCAACACAGATGTTTATATGTTGAAATCGATTTTCTTTGCAATCACCAGCCAGGTGCTAACTATAACTTATCAATAACCCTATGGTATCAGCTATGCAGGCAGGAACATTGTGTCTCTCTCACACAAATGAGCAACTATTTATTGGATAGACACTGGATTCCATGGAGGTCCCTGACCTTGAACTGGGTTTGAAGCACAGATTTAGTTCAGATTCACAGTATGGGGCATTTAAAAAAGGGGAATCAGTAGGACCTTAAAGGTTTTGATGTGGAAAGGCATTCTGGAGCCAGGGAGATGAACTGAGTTTCCTTCTGTTGGAATTAGAAAATTGCTAAGAGTTTTAGTGGAAGAGAGTAATTTGAGCAAAGTAGCAAAGTGCATGAGGCTTGCACCAAATTGGATGGGCTTTATTTATTTATTTATTTATTTCTATACAGTGAATTAGCTAGGTATTTTATTATCATGTTATATATATATATATATATTTGGTCTACAGTGTGAAATAATTTCTGAGGATATGGTTTTAGTAACATCCATGATTATATATATCTCAATGAGAAATTACTGAATTAAATCAGTATCAGGAAATGAAAACTAGGACTTACTACTTCTTGGTGTGGGACAAATTCTGATAATGTGCATCCCCAGAAACTAAGCCATGTAAAATTTGAAATTAGTATCTCTCTACAAAAAAATCATTTTAGACAAAGTATTTTGGAGAATTTATTTGTATGAGAGAACCAAAATATTTTATGACCTGAAATAGGCTGCAAATATTGAATTCAGTGGTTTGGCTTTCTTCTTCTTGAGCTCTGGTTACAGAATCCTAGGGAGCAATATTATTAATACTGCATATGTATCCTGGGCCAACAAAGTCTCCTTGGATTAATGATTTTATGCCACAACTAGCTGGTCTGAGACTATATTTATAAAATCTTCCAACTACTTTATGAAAACTTGCCTTTTTGGGCTAAACATAATGCACCTCCAAAATCTGGACTCTAAAAAGACAGTTAATAAAAATGAGAATTCAGGCCACTGTAAGACAAGTATCAGTCAAATTGTTTTGGATATGTAGTGATGAACAAAAAAATGTTAGGGTTGACTGTTATGCGTAGAGCTGAACTACTTGTACACTGACTGACTGATTCCATAACTCTTTGTACTTAAAAAAATTTGCTGGATAGATAAAATTTCTGAGGAAGGAATCAGGATTTGTTTTTTTCTCATTCTGGCTTTAATTATTACACATTTGAAGTGTTGACTTGAATTTGGTAATTAAACAGAGAAAACTGAAGAGTATGTTTACCTTTCTGAATATGCAGCACAATTTAATTTTCATGAAACTGTACAAAGTAAAAGAGAGAAATGCTGGTTTTCATGATATGTGCTTGGTTTTCAGAAGGACCTGGCCATAAATGTTAGATTACATAGTATTTCCATTTTGAGGAGCATTTTGGAGGTGTTCAAGTTCAATTCTAAAAAAAACTGTCAGTGAAAATTATTCCAAAGTTCCATAAAAACTACCGACCCCAAACAAAATGTTATTTTTATGGAAATTATCCAAAAGTTCAGAGTTTGACATTGTTCTTTTGATGATGGTCCAACATCTTACAGCTGTGATCTTAACCATAATATTCTGAACACATAAGAAATATATTGTTTCTTTCTTGGCCACAGATTGATTTATATGTTTTTTAGGCACAAGTGACAACATACTCAACTTATAGTGCATTTCTGTTTATTAGCAAACTGATACAATTATTTCTTAAGACAGGCAGAAACATTTTTGGAAGTAGCATGAAACTCAGTATTACAGTTTTATTATCCAAGGAGTAACTATTTAGTCTGGGCGGTGAGTGTAAGGGGACGCTCTAGTAAAGTAACAGGAAACTAGCACATTGTACAAGATTGTTGCCCAACAGAGGGCTATTGCACAATAGAAAAATGGGATTATTATCTTTTACACACCATGTGTTAGTGGTTGGAAACATTAACTACCCTTTTGCATAAATAATATATTTTCCTCTCGTCCAAGAAATAAAATAGAAATGCAGGAGAGTGGCTGCAGTCCACTAAAAATCACGTGCAATTTGGGAAATCCTATAAGGTTTTCATTAAAGGGGACTTCTTTTTTCTATTCTGATGACTTTTTATTGATGTGGTCAATAGTTGTTTTATACTTTGGTAAGTTTGCAAACTAAGCAAACTTACCACAATCTTACATACATGTTTGCGTTTCAACATTCACTGATTATGCATGTGTATACGTGCACCAGAATTGAGTTGTAGAGTGTTCTAACGATTGTCAAACCTCGATGTTCCAGGTATGAGATTGATGTTGGATAGAGACCATCCAAGAGAAATTACTATTAGCAATCAAGTATGACCTGAGCCTTTATGGTGCAACATTTGTTTAAGATTGCTGTTTTTAGAGTCAGAAAAACATAGTGCTCAAATTCTAGGTCTGCCAACAACTAGTTGTGTAACTTTTGGCAATTTGTTGGCATCTCTCAGGATTAGCTGGTATTTAACATGTGGATAATCATTACTACTTGCTAAATGTTGTAAAGATTACACGAGATGCTTGTAAAGCACTTAGCATAGTGTCTGGCACACATTAATCACGGAAGAAATTAAAGTTAATGTTATTAACTCATTACAAAAACATGAATTTAGCTTCTACTCAATGCCAAAAAGTGTGCTAAAACTTGGGGATACAAATGAGACATGGAGACAGGCGCAATAACTATAGTTACAAGCTAATGCTAAAATGGAGAGAGGCATGTGCAAGCTCCTAATGGGAGCACAGCAAGGAAAGCATTGACCTCTGCCAATGGAAATGGAAAAGGACTCCCCAGATGGGGTGATGTTTTTGAGCCTTAAAGAATGAATGAGCTTTTGCCAGGCCAAAGAGGGCAAAAGGGGATGTCAGGCAGTGAACAGTTATGTCAATGAAGGCATGCAAGGACATGGTCAATCTGGGGAACTGAAAAAGTAGACTTCCTTGGTTTGATCAGAGTCTAAATATAGGACATTACTCAGAGAAGCTGGAACCATGTACAGGACTCAATTGCCATGTTGGGAGTTTGTCCTGAGGATCAGTGATATTGAAAACCGGAAAAGGGCAAGTATCAGAATCTGACAGCAGGGGAGAGTTTGGACGTTTCTGTGATTAGTTTAGAAAAGGCCAATAGGATATGCTGACATGTGATCTTATTTCTGATTTCAGGAGCACTTTTGTAATTAGAATCCATAAAGGGAGTGTATGCAGTGATAGTTATTTATTTTTGAGCCTTAACTTTTTAAAAACTTAAATTCAATGAACATATAATGTATTGTTGGTTTCAGAGGTAGAGGTCAGGGATTCATCTGTTTTATATAATGCCCAGTGTTGAGCCTTAACTTTTAAAAGGGTAGCTAAAATTTTTGTGCCGATCGGTCAAGCCACATTATTTAAGAGTTCATTCCAAACCAGAATCACATAATTGAATAGGTGGTATTTTTGAGATACTGAAATTATTTCCTATTAATACAGAAACATAGTCATTTATCTAAGCACTCCCTAGGGCCTTCTGCAGGCAGGTTTCCAAACATAGATGACTTTGAGAAATACATATTCCTAGGCCCCACCCCTGGAGCTTATGATTCAGTAGGTCTTATGAGTGGCCCAGGAACCTGTAGTTAACAAGTTCACCTCGAGTTCTATCAAAGAATAAGAACCATAGCTGTAGACCGATAGAAGATCCAACTTCTTTAAATGTATACTCTCAAAGTTTATGCCACATCATATAGTTTCTTATTCAATTTCTTTATATATACAAAGTATGTTTTTTGATATACTGTAGCTACTAATGTTTAAGGCAAGTTTTCTGACTAGGTGCATTTGAAACAGACAGCTAGATACAAAATGAAAATCAGTTGCAGGCTGTCTTTTTAAAACCTGTTCAAATAGAAATATGAACTAAAAGGAATAAACATGTAAAAATGAACAAAGAGAGAAGAAAGCAGTCCTGAATTATTTTTCCTAAATTATGTATTTAAGTTCCAAGCGAAAAATGAAAACTATAGAAAATGTTAAATTAGATTTTACAACATAAGAGGGTTATAAAAAAGTTGCTTCCATAGAATCACAGATAGGATTTATTTGTTGTGAATTACTCAAATTGTGAATATCAGGTCACAATTTGGTGAATGTTTAGCAATGTCTGTGCAGAGGTCTTTATGAAGGACTTCCTGGTGAATTTCTTTCATGCCACCACTAAGAGGAGCCATTGAGCTTTCAGTAGGTCCACTTCCAAGACAAGTTGAATTTTTCTCAAAAAGCTAAAATGTATCCCACACTCTAGATGGAGGACTAAATATTATTGAATCTATAACTAAGACCAATTGAATAAATATTCCATTAAAATTCAAAATGTATGGTTAGGTGTTTTCTCTTTATTGGTTGTGGAATGAAGTTCAATTGGAAACGCATGGCTTTATACC